ATTTAAATATGTTAATACTCACGAATGAATGTAGTTTCTAAAGCGCTAAACATCTTTCTAAATCCATAAATAACAAAAAAGTATTATGTGATAAACTTACCGAATGGTTACGATGTTCCTGTCCGTGACACAAAAAAAAACAAAAAAACTCGTATTATAAATCAATATATCACCGGAACGCAAAAACTGATACGTCACTGATGAGGAAAGCATTATTTAATAAACAAAGGTGACGTAGTATGCAATTTTCCAAAGATACCGTGTGGCCGTACGCCATATTGTAGAACATGTTTTTTCGACATTTTAGGACATGCGCAGAACGGTGCGTGAACAAGTATTGTTATCCCTAACATGAAAACTTGAGAAATTTGGTGAAGGAGAACTTATAAAGAGAATTCTTCAGGGCTGATATAAATTAATGTATCTACAGTAAAATCATTAAAAGTTTACAACGTAAACAGCGTAATGAGGTCACAGAATGTGGAGATGCAGTCCATGTGTTAAAAATGGACAAACCAAGTCGTACTTTAAAAATTAGCACCTATCTTGATAAAAATAAAGTTGGTCTCAATATTTTGTCTTTAAATTTAACGAAGTGTCTACCGCGCCGGACGTGTAGTGCGCAAGATACACGTCCGGCGACTTGTCACGTGACCGCCGGACATGGCCGGACGGCTAGTAGTTTTTATAATTCCAAACGAAGTGCGATTTAGTGCATCTTGTCTGGTCTTGTGGTAGAGTGGTTGCTTGACGATAGGAATGTTTGAGGATTTTTTTCTTCCCATTTTAATTAAAATATTTTGTATATATTTATATTATCATGTTCCTCAGCAACAGTAATTTCATGAGAAGTTTTTAAATATTTTGTAGCAATTGAAATAATTTAAAATGAAATCTTTAACTTTTATTGGTTGCCACACTGGCCCCTAATTTATTTTATGGATTACTGGTACACAAAAAATAACAATCATTACTTGGTAGAGAAATAGATTTTAAAATTAACAATAGTTTTGAATTATTCGCAGTCACGTGACAAGGCTGACCGACACGATATCTCTCGCCACTTTGTTACGGCGGTCATGTGACTTGGTCGCCGGACACATAGTGCGGGAGATAGACGTCCGGTCCGGCGCGCCGGACGTGTAGACACTGCCTAAATTTAAATACAAAAAAAAACGTATTAAAGACCTAAGTTGGTACTTCAAAAAAGACATGTACCGGTAACTTACACTGACAGCACTAGTCGTTACTGGTGAGCTAGACTCAAAGAGTAATAGTTCCCAGGCTAGTGAAACACTTATTACTAAGAATAAGAATGAGAAGCGTTACCGTTATCGGAAACAGGACACCGGCTAAACAAACAATGAAAAAAACATTCAATTTATAAATATCGGTATACATGAGAATTACCAAAGGATACGATAGGTTGAACCATAACTTTCTGAACCTTCTGTCCAGCGCCCTTGTATGCCATTTCAATTTAATAGTGCAGATGAACACTTCCAAAGATATAAAATTCAATACAGCTTCACGTTTGTGAACGTACCGGAAAGAGATCTAAATATACCGCTTGCCGATTTATGTAGTTTTCGAAGAATTCCGCGATTCTTTCGCAGTTTATTTCAGACGGATACAATAAGTTAAAAACGTTTAATTTGATTTGCTTAGTTATGGTAAGGGCTATACAAGATGGATGAATATGAAATTGAAATTTATGATTTAAAAACGTTTGCATGCTAATATTAATATTAAAGAAAAAATAATTAAACTTTACTTTATAAGCTAACATTTTAAACGAAGCAAAAAAATGGAACTCTTCATCCTAAAATCAACAAAATGTAGAAACGGAAATAGGAAAAGGAATGTCTGTCTTAGTTTACCTTGGTGATCATTTACAGTAAATGGCAATTATTCATATTGCAATGCTTCGCTCAAAAAAGATCAACTGAAATTGATAAATCCACGTAAAGCAACCTATTTTTCAAATATGATATATTTTCCGTAAAATATAGATTTAATTTTATCAAAATGTTTGTTTGATATAAATATAGGCTATGGCTATATTATTATTAAATAAAATATATAATTATTTAATATTATTATTATTAGGAATTTACTCAATTAATTTACAGTATTCAATATTACAATTTAAAGTTTAAATTTAAATCATTTCAAGTAATTTTAAATAAAGTTTTAATAAACTAATTATTAATTGAGTTTAATGGTCACATGACTTTCACTCATTAAGTCATCATGTCATTATCATTAAATTAAGACCTCACCTACTTTAGTCAAATTGTTAGATTAGATCTGAATTACAAGTATTTCAAGTGAAAGTAGTAATAGGCCTTAATAGGTAACTTTAAGAAAGAGTTTAAGTAAGTAAATTAGCTGAGTCAGTGTCAGTTAATTTTTTGAAGTATTTGAAGTCATTTATTATCAGTAATCAGTTCAAGCTTGACTTGATATTTGTTAAATAGTATCATTGCAGTCAGTGACAGTGCACAAAAAAATCAGTGTTATCTTATTAATACCATAAACAGAACTTGCCATTTAATTTGTAGTAAAATAAAGAAATGGTCTAACTTAATAATAAATTAGTATTGTTTATGTGTGTAAAAGGCATAAAACAGAAGTAAAACTAAATATAAGGTGTAACTGTGTATGATTTTTGAATCCCAAAGTCAATTTTAAATATATATATATATTTTTTTTTAAATCTAACTTAATAGTCAAAATATTTTTCATTTTATTGACAGCCACTGCATGGATTTCAGTGTCAAAGGCATGGCTACCCCACGAAGCTATCAACGACATCTACCTGGTACTGGTAGTGCTAGAGGAAAGCCTCAGATAAATCCTATAACGGTAAGTCTAAGTTCAAATGAATATCATCCAAATATTTGTAATCTATTTGAAAAATCAACCTTTAACATTGAAAAGCAACACAAAAAAAGTATTATTATTTCCTTTATATTTGTTTGCAAAAAAAAAAAAAATTGTTTTATTTCATTAATGAAATCCCTTTACATATATTAAAAATTGTAGGGAGAAGAGATGTATATCAACACTCCAAGATTGCAAGAAAAGAACAATGTTAACACTAATGCATCATCCGAGTAAGTGTTTTATATAAGCCTTATCACATCTGATTAAATATGGAAAATATAAACTCAGATGCCACATTTAAAGAAGGGTAAGGACAGTACTCCTCAGATATTGGGATTATGCTGTTGTAATATAGCCTATGCCTTGGCCTTTTTTTTCACTTTAAGGTAGAGCTATTTTTATCCACCACCACTTGTCTTGTTAGCATGACCTTGATATTGACGTCACCAAGTAAATGCACAGTGTCACTCCTTCCTAGTCGTCATTTCCACCCCGCCCCCCCTTTTTTTTTTTGGATGGGAAAAGGCTGTTGACATTAGAATGCATTCTATTTATTCTAAAGTTGATGCAATTTCTAGAATTTCTGTACAAGAATGTTCTGAGTTGGTGCCTATATATAGGCTGCATGTCTTCTTAGCACCGACACTTAGATAGACATGGCGAGATAGATAGAAAGTGAGAGATATTACCTATACAAGATATTATACAATGGTGTCTGTAAATTAACATTTGTATTTGTATAGAAATTTATTTGTATAATTAAATTAAATATTGTTAGTATCAATGGCTTTGGAATCATTTTCTTTACATACTGTTTTACTAATTCCTTTGTTATGTATTGTTTATTATACGAGCCAAATCTCAATATAGATTGAATCTTCAAAACCATAAATGTACGTTAAAAATCTTATTTATTATTAAATTTTGAAATAAGATGACTTGGAGGCAGAGTGAGCACATATAATCTTTGCAATGCAATATGGATGTTATTCAGCAATAATTTATTTGCTCTCTATTTATTTTGTTTATGTTTACTGTTAAGAAAATCAAATTTTTAAGTTAATTTTAAAAGATTTGTGGAATTTCAGTTCTTTTTATTGAAGACTTAAAAAAATAAACTGCTTTTCTCTTCTAGTAAAGTTCCATCTCTTAATCTTCACTATTTGAAAGATGATGATGTCAAGACAGGGGCAATCGATATTGATCTAAGGATTCATGATTATGCTCTCGACACTCCGAATTCAGCGAGCACTGTCAGGTAGGTTTGATCTGAAATTGACTCATTTTATAACTTTTTTGAATCAATTATTTCATAATCTATTCCTTCTTTTCACTGTATCATTTTGTGTGTTTTTTAATTGCTTGAAAAGTTAAAAAGGCTGTAGTATTTAAAATGTTGTCAATGACTCTCTTTATAATTGACTTTTAAGAAATGTAATAATAATATAATAATTAATTATTTCTAGTTCTGATAGAATTTATCTATTGCGCATTATTTACATTTAATTAAAATAAATTTGTATATACTTTCAGTTGGGGCACAGGTAGAAGCAGCTATCAAGCCGGATTTAAACCACTAGTAAGTCCAGTAATGGTTCATAAGATCACATATTTTCTTTATGTATTTTAATACTTTCATCGCTTCATGTTTATTATTTAATGAATAACCAAGTTTGAAATGTTTATTTTGCTCTCAAAAACATTTTTTTTTTTTTTTACTCTTACAGACAAACAAATCAAATACAGTTTCAATGCGCCCAGCAGGAGTGCCTGGCCTTGAACTTGCACCTGCAAAGCCATTATCAGCCCGAAAACAAGTACCAAAACAGGTTTTAACTTTTTACCTTATTTGTCTTTTCATAATCTGTAAGTGCTTACTTCACTCCTCATAAAGAAAATATTTTAACATGGTTTAGAAGATTTATCTTTTTCTTGTTGACTGATTTATTTATTAAATTAACATTCCCAGCTATTCACTGTAGTGAATATATATACTTTAGGTATCTGCCACATTCAAAACAATTATGAAATTTTTAGTTTTTTTTAGTTTTTTTACACTGAAACAAAACATGCGTGTCTTCTACTTTCTATTGCAATCGTTAATGCACCCCATCCAGGCAAAAATCGATATTTGCTATCTTTCAGGATAATTCCATTTAGATAGTTGAATAAACCTTTTAAGGTAATAATCTATCGGATCTGCTGTCTTGTGATATGAACTTATAAAATAAAATTAAGAACTACAAGCATTTAAAATTTAACAATTTGTCTTTATTGTTATTTCCGGACAGCCATCTGCATGGGATAAAGAAGCTGTACCCACAGACATCCCCCCACCTTCAGTAAGACATAAGGAACTATATCAGCAGTACGCAGATGAAATGAAACAATCTTACAGGGCACAAACAAACCCGTCTAAAGTTAGTCAGGTCAGAATCTTATATTGGCTAAAAAAAGTTATTTCAAAGGGGTACATATTCTTCATATTTAAAAAAAAAAACAATTTTAAGTTGTTGTAAGAACTAATAAAAGTGTCCAATTATCAGCTAAAATATTTTATTATTTTAGGAGGAAGTAGAGAAGGTTGTCGAAAAGCTGCGCAATACCCAAAAGCCTGAAGCACATCAAGGAGAGATTGGTGATGAGGATGAGTTTGAGAAAGACAAAAGTAAAGTTAATGATAATTGGACAAAGCAGCGCTACACAGGGAAACAGTTGGTCAAAAAGAAGGATATTGTAAGCAGTAATGGAAAATATCAGTTTTGTTCTTTTATTAATTATATAGATATTTAAATTTTCAGCTCGTGAAATCAAATCAACCTAATTTCTTTTTTTTTTTTTCTACTGAACATTTTTTTAACAGCCTGGTTTCATTTTATAAGTAAATAGTTGACAAATTTTTAAGCTAAAGAGCCAATGTGTCCAACCAAAGAAATTTATTGTTGATAACCTAGTTTAATAAGTTCCTTTTCAATTTTAAAAATAAAAAAAGACACATTCTTGTATTATTTTAGGAGGATCTTTTTGAACAAAATAAGAAACAGAAACTTGTTGAGACAGTAATGATAGATCAACTGTCAAGGTAAATAAACAGATTCTTTTTCTCACTGAAATCATATTCTTAAAGCAATAAAATAAGGAATTCTCATTTACATTGGTATTTATTTAATTTTTTAAAATTAGTTCATTTAGTTGAAGCTTTTAAGTTTTATCTGTGATCCCAACACTTACTTTTATTTGCCACTTTCAGGGATTATATTGCTATGTTCCTAATTTGCCACTTCCCACAATATAACCTGCTTAATTATTGACTAACTAGTTGTAGCCCGCCAAACAATGTTGGCAGCCATGCATCAACTTCCAATCTACTTGAGAAAAGCACTTTATAAGAATACCAATTAGTGCTAACCGCAACCGCACATATTTTTATGCCCCTGAACTATATCAATATTCTAATGTCCCACCCCATTTTTACATCACAGATTTATTTACATTATATTTAAACTGAGACTATTTCCATGAAACAAAAGAAAACATTACACACCAAAAGCACTTGCCGAATTTTTTAAGAATCTCATTTGGAGTAGTTATCTGGAATTTTCATTATTGAATTCATCGTCACACCATACTTTCTTTTATACATAAAGAATTATATTGATTGGTTATTCACTGAAATAGTGAAATTTCTTGAAAATTGTGAACTCAATTTTGATCAAACTTGAAATAAATGAAATATAATAACTCAGTTTTTGTGACTTGCTAGGGCTGTTATAAGTGACCCTGAACAGAATGAACTCTACACAAGTAGGCCGACATCATCTCGAAGAGGAAGGGGCAGCCATAGGTATCTTCATGATTCCAAGTAAGTGTTTCTTTATTGCCTAGTATTGGAGTGTGTTATGATTGCTTCAATAATTTATCATACAAATTTGTAATTTACCTAAGAGAAAATATCAACCCTAGTTATAAAATTGATATCAATTTTTTTTAAAAATTTGTTGTAGTAAATTTAATGAAAGTGGATTACTTTCAATAGTGAAAATTTATTTTAAAAATTGTCATTGTGACAAAATTCAGTAAAGTGTTCACTAAATAACTTATTTCTGGTGACACTCTCCCAGAATCAGCACTGCCTCTACAGCAACAGAAAACCTTCTATCCAAAAGAGTCAGATTTGGAGCAAGGATTCTTACAAGGTTAGCAGCAACCCTAAATTGTTTATGTTTGCTATTTCAATTCCTCAAAGAGTTTGCGTAAATACGTGCTCAAACTGTTTCAATGGGATGTTCAGATTCATTCAGCAATTGAGAAATTTATGAGATTTATCATCATTTCTGTTATTTTGTATTATTTGGTTATAGTTGTTTTGGCTATTCATTTAATATAACTTATAACTGAAATATAATTTATTTGTTTGCTTTAGAAATGGACATGATGCAATGCGTGAGCTTACGGGGTTTTTCTTTGACTTTGACAAGACTTTAACAGTTTATGAGTTCAGGCAGTTTGGGAAAAGGTAAAAACACAATTTTACTTCAGTTCAAACAAATTCTGAATCAGGTTCATTTCATTTTCTCTAAAAGACCACAGCTTTCTTTGTTATCAATTTAAAGTGTTCAATTAGGGTTTTCCAACATTTTCTATATTTTGCACCCAATTAGGGTTTTCCAACATTTTCTATATTTTGCACCCAATTAGAGTTTTCAAACATTTTCTATATTTGGTACCCAATTAGAGTTTTCAAACATTTTCTATATTTCGTACCCAATTAGGGTTTTCCAACATTTTCTCTATTTTGCACCCCTTAGAAATATTTTGACTGAGTCTAGCTTGAGCCTTACATCTCCAACCATAGTAACAATGCATTTTAAATTTGGAAGAAAAATAAACTTGTGACTTATTACTCAAAATAAAAAGTTGATAATTTTAAAAAAAATTTATATGTATATGCATTTTTACCATAACTCAAGGACTAATTCTTCTCTGTTCTTATAATCGATTTCCAGCGCATCCCCTGAAATGCCACCATTCACCCTGTGGTGTTGGATTTTAGTGGCAGTTAACCATTTTGGTTTACAAATCTTATATCCATTTATTTTAAAATTAATGATGGATTAGAGTTGGGAGAGCCAAAAATTACCTGTTTTTAAAGAATTTGAATTTTTTTCAATATAATCCCATATTTTTATTACTTCTGCAGTGCCAAAGCTATGCCATTCATATACCGTGGACAATATCGCCACAAGTCAGGACCTAAGAGTGGCCTCCCTTACAGTATATCAGATATTTATACAGTAAGTAATGGTGTAATGATTTTAAATTCATTTTTTGTCATCCAAGTTAATTTTTAATTTCATATACTTAAATACCATTTACTACAAAGATAATACAAAGGGAGAGAGTTAGCTCCACACTGATTAAAATGGTGCTGTGATTCCAATAAAGTGAAAACTTTAAACTGAACTAAAGAAAGGTTAGCATTTTTTCCAATAATATCCTTGAAAGATTCATGCTGTAATAAATCACTTTAAAAAGCCAAAGCTAGCAAAAGAACAACCAATTCAAGACTGAGCTTCAGAGATATCACACTTTTCTTGCTCTTTAGTCTTTTCACCCCATCTCCGTGATACCAGTACTGAAATTTCGAGGCCACTGTCTGAACACACAATTTATAACTTGAATAAATCATAAAGCTAACGAAAAATATTCACCAGTATTGATCACCTAATAAACCAAACTTAGCTGTGCTGTTGTTCCCCAGGGAGCAAACTTGAAGATTCCTACAGAAGGTCAGCTTGCTCTGACAGAGTCGCTGACAGAAAGTGATGTCATTGTGCTACGTGTCACAGATGTTGATGAGGTGGAGAGACAACAGTTGCTGTGAGTTAACATAAGTTTTATCAAATAATGGAGACAAGCCACAGAATTTTGAACAAATTAACTTCTCTTCTAAACATTGTTGCTATTTTTGTGTGAATACATAATTTTATTTTGCTTATTAATTCAACATAAATTTATCTGTTGACACTCATCTTTAAGTTAAAAGAACCTCGAGTCTGAAAATGAAAGTTTAGCTCTCACATACAGTCCTCCTATTTCTTGTTAATTTTATATGAAACCTTTTATCATCCATGGATACTTTTGCACACAAATAATTGTTAATTATTTAGTGAAAAGTAAATTAATGAAAAGATTTATGAATTTCATTCCATATGTTATGACCTGAATTCACAACTTTACATAAGTGCAATATCTTTTCCTGCTTTGTTTGACTCTGTACCCCATGCCCACTTCTTTTCTTTAATTATCTTCAATGAATTATTTCTTGATTTAATTCTTATTCATATTTTCAATTCTCTGAAATGGTAATAACCTCAGTTGTTATTTTTTTACTAATCAGCGCTGAGAGGTATGACGACGATGACAGACTGCATGCTCCAAGCAAGATGGATATTGAGAATCGGGATTTTCTTTACATGGTTCAAGGTAACTTCTTGACAAATTTAAATTAAAGCTTATCAAATTTGTTGGAGCTGAAAAATTTTATTTTTTTAAAATTTATAAAAAATTTGTGTTACAATTAAATTCCGGTGTATATAAAAGTAAATAATTTTTGTTAAAACAGATGAAATTAGGTCAAAAATCCGCAAGAGAGCAATTAAAACAGTCACTGGCCTGGGCAGATTCTATAGGAAACTTGACCTATACAAAACTGGTATTCTTGACCAGTATGACCTAGAGAAAGGACTCAAAGTTTATCATATAGATGTAGAACCAGAGGTAAGTCAACACTCACTGTCTGAAATATGTACATGTATTTACACATTCTTTTCCTTTGACTTATTTGCTCCTAGGATGCATAGGCCATTCATAAATTTTTTCTATTTAATTTTGATTTAAATTTACCTGGTATCCCTAAAATTTTGATCCATTATTAAAAATAAATGTTTCAGAAGCTAGAGGAAGTTTTTGACATTCTTGATCCAGAAGGCTCCAAGTTGTTGGACTATGGAGACTACATGAGAGAAGTCTTGGGGGAAATGAATGAGTACAGGAAAGCCCTGGTCAGGAAGGTAAAAGCTTCTATTACTTACCTGGATCACACATGCTGTACACCTGTTACTGACACATCTTATACATTCTGTACACCGGTTACTGACATATCTTATACTAGCTGCACACCTCTTACTATAAACATGGTAAAGATCACACATGATGCTTAAAGTTTACTAGTCGCCATTCCTTCATATTTTCATTACAAAGAGAAAAGGGAAACGCATTAAAATCTGTAAACACAGCTTGGGGACTTAACTAATACAAAAATATAAGCCAAGGGAAAATGGAAAAAATAGAACCAAAAAATTTAAAATATGCAATTATGTAACATTAAACTGTATGATTTTTTAACATTTTGACTCGGGGAATTGATTTGTATTAAATTTTTTGCTGTAGGCTTTCCGCAAGTTAGACAACGGCAAGAAAGGAGCTATTCATATAAGTGATGTGAATAAATTCTTTAATCTCAATGCAAAGTACAGGCCTAGAACAGGTCAGTGTGATTCACCTTTAACAAATCCCTCTACACAGTTTGTCTTGCTTGTCAGTGGTAGTTAATTGTAAAAATATTTACCTGGATTATCAGTTGTAAATACCTGAAATTCTTCAACAGTAAAAATTTTCTTTAATTCTTTTTTTCTCTCCTCCAGATGGTGCCAGTAATCAAAGTGCACTTCAAGCCTTTTTGGAGGATGTCCGTGAGAATGAGAAAGAGGAACTCATTTCTTACATTGAATTTGAAGAATATTACGAGGGTCTTAGTTTAAATATAGACAAGGATGAGGACTTTGCTAATGTCTTATGCAACACCTGGAATATTTGAATGTTTTGGTTTAGTGGAGAAAACTGTTTTAATTCTCAAAGCAAGATGACACAGATTTATATTTCTTTGAGTTGAGGTTAAAATATTTTTTGGTGGAACCAATACAATTTTTTAGTTTTTTTAAAATTTAATGACAAAAATTAAGTCTTTCAGAAAAAAACAAAAATAGAATGTCCACTTTCAAGAACACAACCCAGCAGTCACCATTTCTGTAATTCATTTTAAAATTAAAAAAAAAAAATAGCCCCAGCAGAAAAAGAAGGTAAAAGCTTTGTGAAAAAGGTATGTCCACCACTCTGTAAAGGAAATAAACACCCTTTGTTAGCTCTTCAGTATTTTTCCTTTAGCTAAATAGAGTCATTTGCTCAATATGACTGAATATAATTTGTTTAAATAAAATATTATGTTTTTATGCAAGTCCACTTAATGGCTCTCAAATTATAATTGTGCCCAGCAAAGGGTATTTATGCTTTCTGACCATTCATTGTCTACTGACTTTGCTCTTCACTGCCACCTGGTTGTTCTTTAAAATGTTAATCACATTAAGTTGCCATGAATGGTCACATATCTTCTCACTGTTCATATTAAAAAATTTTTTGTTACAATTCCTACTAATTGTTGATGCACCGCTCTTCAATCACATTCATTTTTCTTTAAGGCGTTTGTGCGGTTACATTAAGTGATAGAGAATAAAAATGAAGTGTGCACTCTTTGTTTGTAAAGTGTTTCATAACATAGAATAGATTTAATGCAAATTATTAAATTTATAGATGAAATATGTTGTTCATAACTAATTGTGTACAATGTACTACAAAATATATAATTAAATTTGTTTTTGAGATTGCTGAGCTTCACAGAGATTTTTAGAGATGTTGTAGAGATGTTTTAGAGATTGTAGGGATGTTGAAGATTTCTTTGTTAAATGTTTAATATCCGTCCTAAAGAATTTTACTTGCTGTTGACCGTCCTATTGTTGTATTCAATAAAAAATTACTCATGCTGTGTTGTATAATGAAAGACATGAGCAGCCACATGACAGCTTGTCCAGGAGGATGACTATCTGAACATTCAGACATCACAGATTGTTATAGTTGAACATTCAGACATCACAGATTGTTACAGTTGAACATTCAGACATCACAGATTGTTACAGTTGAACATTCACACATCACAGATTGTTACAGTTGAACATTCAGACATCGTTACTTTTGAACAATCACAATCAACATTTGTCATACTTTAACTTTCATAATCATTCAAAGATTGTTGTACTTGATCTGTTCACCATTCCACGGTTTCTTTATAATTCCAAGTTGTGGGTGGTCATTTTTAATTGTGATATACTTACTTACCAGAGGTTATTTAATTTGCAACATTCTATTTGTAAAGCATTAGGTAGTTATGTTGTGTTTGTGGTGATGCACATGTAACCAGGAGGATCACTATGATGTATCTAGGAATACATTTGTTTACCTACAAAAACCCAATTATGTCTCAGATTTCTAATATGTACAACCCAATTATGTCTCAGATTTCTAATATGTACAACAACCCAATTATGTCTTAGATTTTTAATCCTAGTTTCTTGAAGATTGGAGGGAAAATGTTTCACAACCGGTTTGTGATGCATTCTTTTATGTCATGTTGACTGTGCCATAATTCTGTAGTTTAGAGATCTTGACTATGCCATAATGCAGTGGTTTAGTCATTGTGACTATGCCATAATGCAGTAGTTTAGTCATCTTGATTATGCCATAATGCAGTAGCATATACATGTGCCAAAACTAGAGTAATGAAACTCATGAATCTTAAAGGTGTACTTGCATTAGTCAACAGTGCATAGGTTCACCATAGAAGTGAATAGGATTATATGTTGGGCAATTTTCGCTCCAAATGGGTCCCTCCACGAAGGCAAAATTATTTATAGTTGAACAATATTGTAGCTCAAACATTGGTGAACATAAAGGGTGACCGTGTTTTTAAAAAAGGCGGAAGTGGAAGAATGATTAAAAAATTCACTCAGTAACAAGGTTCTGTAAAAGTACTCTTTGTTAATGGAAGGGGAAGTCTGATCAAACTGTTGGCTAATGTGACTTTTGTCGTAACTAATACCTGGTACACCAGCAAGAAATTTCCACAGTGCTCAATCCCGATTTGCATATCTGGCTCGAAAGCTTTGTGCCACCTGTATCCATGTCACAAAAATGCACCTATGTCCTTAAACAATCAGAGAATGGACATATTGCCGATGTTCAGTTTGAAGGATGTTCCTCGTAGACTGAACGCAGCACCTTCTGGTGAACACTGGCGTGATTCTCATTATTGAAAAACTTACTGGTCAATCAGCCTTCCTCTTCCATTAATTGACACAATAAACTTCAATGACTGTGAAACAGACAGCATAACTGTGTTATTTGGGGCCATCTTATTAAATCTCTGCTGTGACCTTTACTCAAACAGGATAACTTTCAAAATTAGTGAAAATGATGGTCAACTATGAATATGTTTTCCTCCATTGATAGGCCATTTTACAACAAAAACTGCCCAACATAATTCTTGGCACTTCTTGGAAAATGTGGTGGTTCTGATGCAAGTATATGTTCAAGATTCAGGAGTTTCAGAACTATTACTGTCGGCACATGCTATACTTATGCTTTGGCATCAAACAAAATCCTTAGTTAGTCTTATATGTCCGACAATATTTTATAAGTTATTGAAATATTTCTCAAATGGTTAGAAGTAGAAGTACAATGGAGTGTTGGCTAAAGGCCACTAGTATGCACCTGCATCGTCATTTTTTTAGGCGTTTGTATAGCCGTTAACGGACTACAGAAAATGGCTTTGAGAACTTCAAGTGACAAGCTATTTTAGGGACCCTTCCTTGAAGAGTATATGTTAAATAAACATTGATTACTTAAATGAAATAATAATTGTTGTTTTTATCTTTAGTGACATGCGATTTATGTTATTAAAAGAATTTATTTCAATTTTGATGCTCAACATTTTTGTTGGTAACTTCTAACTCCTTAATATTTTACAATGACTTGGTTCAATCAATTTAACCATTCCTTTCATTTACTGATCCTGGATCTATGTAGCTAAAATGATAGACAGGGTGACCACATCTGTTGACCCTTATCCATCATAATGATATAAACATTTTAAAAAACACCACAAACATATTATGAAATAAAATTTAATAGGTGAAGTATTTTTGTTTATTACACAAATGTTTTATAAAAGCAATGAGGCTAATAAGTGGACTAACATATTGAAAAGATGTAACCAAGTAAATTTATATTTCCTTTGTGTTTTTAAAGTCCTTGTTGTTATGTCCCTTTAGATAAACATTTTATCATAAAAACATTTTCACTTAAATTCAGATCATATAAAAAAAATAAAATAACTTAGCCTGTCATAAGTGCCTAGTGACCATCAAATTAAGATGATGCACTTTGGATACAAATAATAAAGACATAAACTCCTTACATACATTTTAAAGAAATGTTTTCTTGGAAAATGGAATAAAAGCATTGAGGTGTCCAATTCTATCAATGAGTTTTGTACTGCTAAGTTTCTAGGGTAAATTGGCTAAATGTGTAAATCATTAAACAATTTATCAGATGGCAACTAGTGGTGAATCAGTGTTTATATGTTTGAAATGTACTTTTGCATGATGTATTAATAGAACTTTTCATTGGAACATTCTGTCTTAATTAATAAGTAATAGAAATGAAATCACAAAAACTACTGCATCATGAGTCCACTAAACAATTTCAGGCAGGTTAAATTGTTTTATCTACCAGTGGAAATTCAAGAATATTTTACATCTATCACAGATATATTTGTAAAGATATTTAATTTATTGAAAATCTATAAATTAAGAAAGAGGCCCACAGATCATAATAGAGGAACCCAAACCTTCTATGAATTAAGGCTTTAGTTCAACTTTCAATATCTTTAGTCATTTAATTTTTTAATTTGATCTTGCCCCCTAACCCCCTCTAAAGAAACACCTGATCTCCTACATATAAATAAGGCACCGAACAATTAAATATTTTACAATAATAATTATGAAAATTGCTGTCATTTACATTTTATGGACGGATTTTTAAAAGAAAATGCTTTAAAAATAGTCACATGGTAGTTTTAAAAATGCATTTCTGACAAATTAAATATTTTAAATCAAAATGTAGTTTAATTAAAAGATGAAAAAACTATAGCAATACAATTTTTAAAGAACAAGAAATAAATTCAATAAAATGTTCTGACTATATAAACACTTACAGCTGTTTCAGGGAAGGTCAATGTAATGTGAAAAGTGAATGGTGCTTTTATTTTCTTAGATAAAGTGATTATACTCTAAACATATTGGAGCCCATATCATTGAAAATAGCATCTACCCACAGCCTGCATCATCATATCAAATTGGGATACAATAAATAAAAAATTGTATAGTAAATGACAACTTAACTATGATTGCACAACTAGCTTAATTTAAGGACACTTAACAAAATAAATAATTGCTAGGAACTTTGGGATGACCCTTTAATGTTATATAAGTAAAAAGTTCAAATGAAATCAATTGACAGATTAGGTGGCTTTTAAATTTTTTTAAAATAGGGTAAACAAGTAATTAGTGCAAGATTTTTCAAGACACCCTGTTTCAAAATATCATTGCAAATATGTTCTTTTTTATTCTTTTTTTTTTTTTTTTGCCATTGCATAATTTTTTTGTTTTTAAAATTACAAGAAGGTATGTTTAATACTTGAAATTATCTACTGCTGACACTGTACACTAGCATCTTCTATGAACACTATTATTTTGTCTTTACAGGCATTAAATGACTGTCAATTACCATACAATAATTGCTACAGTAAAATATAGATGGCTCATTGAAACAGTAAACTAAAACACCATCTAACCTACAGTATCTTCTACAGCAGATTGGTCCACTGCTGTATCAGCTGACACTTCTGCAGGAGCCGGTGGCTTGGGACGAGGCTTTTGGGGTCCTTTATTTTTCTTAGGGTCCTGTCCCATTGGCCTGAAATGATGACTTTTTATTAATGACTAGAAACTGGTGAAATCAAAATGGGCTCCATTTATAACAAGCTCTGTTTAACTGCCTTGGTCTGGCATAATTTCAAGTTGAGGAAACCAACTTAATCTCTGGAACACTGTGAATGCACTATATGTAATACATTGTCATCACATTAGTAACATTTTTGTTAGAGCTAAAGCTATAATTCATTATGTGGTGATTCCTTGGGCTATGAACAAAAGAGAGAGAACAAAAAATTAAGTGTCACTGTACAATTTCGGTGTAAATAATACTTGAGGCAAAGTGGTTCAAATAGTGACTGATATTTTATTACCCACATTCACAATAAGAAAGACATCTGAAAAAAATCTGAAAACACTTGGAAATTATTATATCACATGAATTTCAATTACTAACTTCTGAGTAGCATAATCTTCTTTTACTTGATAATTTATCAACACAATTTACATGTTAACACTTCAGCTGTCTTTGTTCATTCTTCTCAAAACAAACTCCATTATTCAACTCCTGCCCTGATTGGCTAGTTTCTCCCAAATCCCACTCTGTATATTATATAATAAATATTTACTATATTACTTACCTCCCATTAGCCTTCATATTCATATCTGTGACATTAAGCTTATGAAACACTCACCTCATGTAACTTTCCTTGGGCCACTTGACAAAATAAGAGAAGGTCCAGGGCTCAGTGATTCCCTGTGTCTGTCGGATGGCATCGATGTAAGCCCTGACCTTGAGATTCTGCTCTCGCCTCTGTAGGGCCCAGGCTCTCCTCTTGTCCAGCTCAGCCCTCAACCTTTCTCTAGCCTCCTCTTCCATTTGTTGCAACTATTTAGAGAGTAAATGTGTGATATAATCAGGTGATGTAAATGTGTGATGCAAATATGTGGTGATATTTTATTGGGAAATTTGTGATGTGATTTAATTGTGTGATGTACTTTTGAATGCAATAATGTGATGCAAATTTGTTAAGGAAAATTCATGTAAATGTGTAATATAAATGTGTAATGTAATTGTTAGTATTGCAGATGTACATCTGGTTGTTATTGATAATCATGACACAATGCCTAAAATTCCTCATCATTAACATTTTACTGAACACAATTTCATGTCTGAAACGAAACTGGAAAATTTGTTTAAATTTACTTTCTTACCTTTTCCAGCCTCCCTTTCTCTTGATTTCTTCTCATCTCCTCTTCATCCTCTTTTTTTCTTCTTTCCTCCTCAAGCTTTTGTTCTTCTTCCAACATTTCTCGCCTGGGAATAAGTAAAAAAAAATAATTGTTATGGAATTCACTCATAAACATCTAAAAACAGTTTGTCCAAAGTTTTGAAATCCGTCCAAAGTTTGAAATCAATATGTCTTTATGATTACTTACATAATTAGTTTTGGAATTTATTATGAATTTTGTAGTCACCAGAAGAGAGCATATCTCAAGAAACAAAAATTTACAATCATAGAAGACACATATAGATGAGCATATGAATGAATTTTTAGAAGAGAAAAAAAAAAGAAGGTAAAGACCGATTGGTAAAAGCCTATTTTTTTGTCAAAATGACTTTTGTCGATAGACCACGTGTCACATTTCTTTTCCTTTAAAGAGTTTGTGTACTTACTTACACTTAGCTTTCTAGGAAACTAGAATGTAATGACTTAAACTTACACTACCGGTATTTAAATTTTAAAAAACTTGCTCCTCCATATTTCCCTGACACAAGACATAAAAGTTGTTTGCCACCAAATGTTTGGGTCACATGAAATTAACTTACTGCAGTCTTTCTTCTTCTTCTCTCATGTTGCGTGCTTGCTCCTCTAATTTCCATCTTCTTTCCTCTGCCTCTTCTTTCTCATTTATAATTCTTTGGAAAGCCTCTTCCTCAGCCTAGATTATACATTTTCATGATTAAAGTACATCAACCTTCAACAGATTTAGATGATTTATAAATAAATTTAGCTTAAGTTAAAATAAATTCATGGATTTATTTTGTTCTGAAGTTTTGTATACAAATTTTTTTATACGTTTTTAGTATTGAGTTACCATAAAATGACAAAGTTCAATTAATTTTACCTGTCGCTCCAACTCTCTCAACTTCTCTTCTTCTTCCTCTGCTGCCTTCTGGGCCTCCAACAGCTCCGCCTGTTATAACAGATAGACATTATTAAATACATACACTCTGTTAAAATGGAATTTATGAAATATCTCCTTAAGCCTAATGGCCAGGTAGAAAAGTTTCTTTCAGAAAATCTGCTGTGGCATTCACTTAATAAATAGCATATTCCTCTACCTCAAATTTTTCTTGAGCAGCCATTTCTTCCTCCTCTCTCTTGGCCTCCTCTTCCTCTTTTAGCCTGCGGGCCATCTCGGCATCTGCGATGCTGTCTAGCATTTCCTGTTCTTTCTCCCTGGCGGCTCTTGCCATTGCCTTCTCTTTTTCTCTGTGGAAACACATTTAGTGACTTGGATGACAATGTTATCAATGTTCAACTTCTAGCTCTGTATGCCACTCAGACACATTAAGTCAGAGGAAGCCTTGAGTTATTTTTATCTATCCATCCTGTTTTGAGCAGCATTCAACATAGTAACATTGATTTTTATGTCTTATGAAATCATTGATCTTTCTTATGTCTTGCTCATATTCAATGAATTTAATGCACATAAATAATGGACAAAATAATGGTTGTGTCCACTAAACAACTAGAATGAAATAGTAAGAATGTGGTATTTGAAAGTCTTAGTAGCAATAAAAGACACCAGTGCCGTTACAATTTCAGTTCGTTCCAAACTTATTATTTAAAAAAAGATGGCTACCTCTTTTCAATAGC